TAATAGGAAGACCTCACTAGTGGCCAAGAATCCATGATTATGGTGTAGTAGAAACTACTGGGGACTGAGTGTTAGGATCCTGGCTCTGTCATTCTCTAATTATATGATTTGTTTTTTCCTTCTAGAGTTTAGAGGAAAAAGTCTAAAAGTTCTAGACTGTGAGTGTTTAAATTTTTTTCTAACTTTTCAATTTGAAATCATTTCAAACTTATGAAAAACTTGCAAAAGTACTAGGAACAATTCCCATGTGCCCTTCACCTAGCTTCCCCAAATGTTACCATCTTACAAAGTTATTAAAATCAGGAAATCAACATTAATTTTATTAACTTATCTGCAAATTTTGCCAATTATCCCACTACTATACTTTTTCTAGGTTAAGAGCCAATCTGGGATCACACATTGTATTTAGTTGTGTGTATATGTGTGTGTTTAATTGTCAACTTTGAAAAAAAAATTCGAAACCTATCCAAAAAAGTTGCAACAACAGTACAACTAATTCTAGTATGCCCTTCCCCTAGATAGATCAATTGTTAGCAGCCTGCCACATTTGCGGTTAAGCTCTCTCTCTGTATAATTCTTTTTTTTTACTGAAGCATTTCAGAATTAAGTTGCAGACATTGTGATCCTTTATCCTAAATATGTGAGTGAGCATCTTCTAAGAACAAGGACTTTTTTTTTTATAATAACCATCTTATAATTATCAAATTTAGGAAATTTAACATTGTTACAGTACTATTAATCTAACAGATGCTCCATATTCAAATTTCACCAATTGCCTCAATACTGTCCTTTATAGTAATTTTTTTCATGATCCAGGACCTAATCCAGAATCAAGTTTTACATTTAGTTGTCACATCTCCTTCATTTCCCTTTATCTGGAATAGCTCTTCAGCCTTTCTTTGTCTTTCATGACGTTGATATTTTTGAAGAATACAGGCCAGTTGTTTTATAGAATGGCCCTCAATTTGCATTTGTCTAGACCAGTGTTTCTCAAAGTCTGTGACTAGTGCTGGTCTACACATTGGTGTCACCCAAGAGTGTCAACATAGAAATAATTTTATGTCTCTTTAATAATAAAAATTGGGGGCGCCAGTGCCAGTCTTCCTCAGCAAAAAAAAAAAAAAAAAAAGAGGAGGATTGGCAAATGTTACCACAGGGCTGATCTCCTCACAAAAAAAAAAATTGGGGGCTTATATTTTTATGTCTTTTGATTTTGTTTTTTTAAGAATTCATTTCTATTATATTTTACAAAATACCAGTCCTCAATGGGTTGGACAGTTTCTTTAAAAAGGGTCCCTCATCACAGCTACTTTGAGCAGCACTCTAGATGAGATTTTGGAGGCTAGGGGCTGTGCTTTATTCATCTCCGAATCCATTACACCCAGACCACACCTGGCAGATTTCAGTAAATGGTTGCCTGCGGGATGATTGAAATGGCCCATACCTTTATTAGAGAAGCTTTTCTTATGCTGAGTCAAAATCTGTCTCTCCATAAATTCTGCATGGGAACCTTAAATCTGTCTTCAAAAACATCATATGACATGTCTACTCCTATAGTTAGGTGTTGGTTTGTCAGAGATTTAAAGATTGATATCCGGGTGGCTGGTGGCGTCGAAATTAAGTTCGTGCGTTCCACTTCTGGGGGCCGGGGTTCGTAGGTTCAGATCCTGGGCGCCGACCTATGCACTGCTCATCAAGCCATGCTGAGGCGGTGTCCCACATAGAGCAACTAGAAGGATGTACAAGGATGACATACAACTATCTACTGGGGCTTTGGGGGGATAAAAGAAAGGAAAAAAGGAGTAAGATTGGCAACAGATGTTAGCTCACAGCCAATCTTCCTCAGGAAGAAAAAAAAAAGACTGACATCATGTCTTAAACCCCCAGTGTACTCCAAGCAAAACTAGCTCTGTTCCTTTTACCATTTATAATGATTAGGATTAAGTTCTGCTGAAAATGAGAACACCTCAAATACGAGTGGCTTGTTGACTTTGTTTCTTATGTTCCACAAGTTCAGAAGTGTCATTCTAGGGCTGGTGGGAAGTTTCAGAAATCAATAGGGACCCAGCACCCCTGTCTTTGCTGTCCCATTGTGCTCAGTGTGTAGCTTCTACACCATGGCCCAGGATGGCTGCTCATGCTCCAGCTATTACATCTGCATGCCTGCCAGCAGAAGGAGGAAGAGGTGAAAAAGAGCACATTCCTCCCTTTGAGGACATTTCCCAGGAATCACACAAAACACTTCCATTTGTATTACTTTGGTCAGAACTTGGTCATATGGCCACAGTTAGCCCAAAGAGAGGCTTGGAAATGTCGTCTTTTATTTTGGAGATCTCTGTGCTCAGCGAAAAATTGGTGGCTTTTGTTTTTGGCTAAGATTCACCCTGAGCTAACATCTGTGCCAATCTTCCTCTATTTTGTATATGGGTCACGGCCTCAGCATGGCTGATGAGTGGTGTATGTCTCTACCTGGGATCCAAACCCACGAACCTGGGCCACTGAAGCGGAGTGTGCCAAACTTAACCACTAAGCCACGGGGCTGGCCCCTGATGGCTTTTTTAAGAAAGAAGGGAAAATAGATATTGGTTGACAAGTAGCAGTCTCTGCCATATTGTCGTTGTATGCGTGTTCTCGTATGTACGTCTCTTCTTAAATCTTCTGATTACTTGTTGGACGTTTTCATGAATTTAAATATAGTTCCAAATTGTATGTGATTTTCCAAAAGCAAGTTGGACATAATGTGTCTTATATAAATGACCTCAGTGTTAACCAGCATTTGAGTACCATGTCTCAACACTATGCAGCAATAAAGGACATGCAAAGTCAGAGACTTCCATAAACCCCTAAGAATATATACTCATTTGTTTGAGAAGCATTTATGAAGCTTCTGTTGTGTGCTTTGGAGTTGAATGAAAGATTGGCAAAGGTATTAGAAGATATGTTTTCTTGTGTGTTTACAGGAATTAAATAGATGTGAAATTGGTAAAAATGATAACACAGGTATACAAGATTAACATATTTTTATTTTTCTTTAAACGCTAATAAAATATAAATGGTGAAACCTGCCAATATTACTCCTTTTACTTTTTTGGTAATTTCTCCAGTTTCCACAGGGTGATATGTATGTGTTACAACATTGTGAATCACCATTCTGGGCAAGTATAGGGATTCATCATATATTTCCACTGGGGACGTTATTTAATGATGTCAGTAATAGCAGAACAGTAAAGGCTCCCTGGAGGAGGTAGCAGTTGAGAAGAGCTGTAAGTTAGGATTTTAGAATTCTATAGCTGGACCTAACCTTGCAGATTTCTACGTGTTAAAACTGTGGCCCCAAATCTATATCCTTCTGATGGTCTATCAGCTAGTTGGTGTCAATGTGGGCACCCTGCTTATCTCCCAGGTCTATGGTCTTTCCAGTATGCACTCTGTTTGTTCTGCAGATAACTGAGTATGTAAATATCTGCCTAGTTACTGACAGTACCGCTAACTCTAAATTCACTATGCCAGTAAGACTACTCTATGAGGGATTTGACCCAAACCTCACTTGATTCTGTAATTCTTACAAGAGCCCTGCAGGGAATTTTACTATCTCAATTTTAGAGAAGTGGAAACAGGCTGGGGGTGTGAGGTAACTTGCCCACTGTTCCACAAATGACAGATGGCATAGCTGGCATTAGAGTCCAGGTCTGCCTGTGGTTTTCTGTAGATTACACTCTTTTTAATGATGTAAGGAAAAAAAATTAAGTAGGATCAATGAGACTACTGGGATGCAAGATGCTGGGGAAAGAGGCGTGTGCATTTATAATAACAGCAATGCCTCATGTGTTCGGAACTTTGCAGTTAAGTTGACTATAAATCGGTCTAGAGGTGGTAAAATTTAATGATCACTGAATGAGCATTTTAGGTTATACCTGACGAGGGAGGTCACAAGCCACTTTTTGGTTAGTAAGGGGATGGGAAATAAAGGACCGCCATCAGACGTTTCACTGAAGTGTCTGGGAGATACAAATTTGGCTTTTGGCTTAGGTAATGTAAGTTTTTTTTTTTTGGTAAGATCGGCCCTGAGCTAACATCTGCCAATCCTCCTCTTTTTTTTGCTGAGGAAGACTGGCCCTGGGCTAACATCCATGCCCATCTTCCTCTACTTTATATGGGACGCCGCCACAGCATGGCTTGACAAGCGGTGCGTGGGGTGTGCACCCAGGATCCGAACCAGCGAACCGGGGCCGCCCCATCAGACCGCGCGCACTTAACCGCTTGCGCCACCAGGCCAGCCCCCTAAGTTTTTTTTTTTTTAAGTAATAGAAGTTTACCATATCAATGGTAAGAACAGTCACCCCCAACGCGTGCGGTGGGTTCCTGCATTGCATTCACTAAACACCCTTAGTGGATCCTCATTAGAGCAGCGCCTCAGGCGCATCGGATCCTGGCCTCAGTTTACAAAGTGAACCGATAGGCTGAACTGTATCCTGGGTCCGGACGCCGCGCGCTTGGAGGTGAGGTCGGCCTGCTCACTGCGGCGCTCCCAGCCCCACCCGCTCCGCATGCGCCGCTGATCGCTTCCCGCCCAACCCACTCCGCCTGCGCCGCACGCTGTGGCTGAGCGGGTCCGCGATCCTTTCCCGCAACACCGGCTCCCCGTGCGCCGCTGGCGGAGGTGTGGCCGGGCGGGTCAGCTGATCGCTTCCAGCCCCACCCGCTGAGCGAGCGCCGCTGGCGGAGGTGTGGCCGGTCACGTCGCTCGCCAAGAGTTTCCTCCCTTGTGAAAGGAGTAACCAAAACGGCTTCGCAGAGTTGTAGAAGGGGCCCAAAGATCTAGGAGGTGCAAATGCGCCGTTAGGTAATTCCGTCTGCGTACAAGCCGGGCCGCTGCGCGGGAGTGTTCCTGTCGCCGCTCGGTTTTAAGATCGGAACTTCAGAGGGAGACTTCGTGGGCGGCGGCCTCGAGGCGGACCTAGGCCGGGGCGATCCCACCCAAACCTCGCCGGGCTGCGAACATGGAGGAGGCGGCAGCAGGCCGCGCATCGTGGGGCTTCGTGCGGCTGCTCCCCGTTCTGGTTCTGGGCCTGTGGAGCACGCTGCCCACCGCAGGTAGGACCGCGGGGCCTGGAAGGGAGGGAAGGAGGGGCAGTTGTCTCTAGGGAGTCCCGCCTGAGGTCGGCATCCCCCTGGGGCTATACTTTAAAGAACCCCAACTCTGAGCTCTCCTTTGTGAAATGCGGATTCATGTACTGATTGGACAATTATGTATTGACATCTACTATGTGCACCTGTAGGAGGAGCCTTGAGACTGAGTTCTTCCTTCAGTGTTGTGCAGAGCGCTCTGTAAACTTAAGCGCCCCTTGCATCATTCTAGGTGCTGGAACTGAGAAGAAAAATCGGGAGGGGGGGAAATAAGTGTACTCCACTTGCGTACCAATGAGGCATCTTGACTGTGAGGGGAGTGTTTTAACCTCACGGTGACATTCAGACGTTCCCTTTCACTTTTTTTGGGACACTGATGGACGTTTCTGTCTAATTATCGCACAAGAAGCCACAGGCTGAAAGGCATTTGAAGACATATTTAAACTCATTACTAACAATAGAATAGAAGTTAAAACAATAAGATACCACTTGATACTTATTAGACTGGCCAGAATAGGCCGGGCTATGCCAAGTGGTGGTGGTGGGGCATGTGGCAATCTAAGTGTAAGTGTCTGAGTGTACTTCAGTGGGGATGTCCATGAGCTAAATGTGGATGCTCACCATGGAGAACTGGGCAGCAGCTTCAAGCAATGGGCTAGCTGTACACATAGCATTGTGGAACCATCTTGAAGGCATAGCGCTAAGAGAGAAACAATGACATAGAACTCAATACCGTTTACAGAAGTTTGAGAAATAAAATAAGACACAGTTTAAAACAAAAACAAAAATAAAGACATTAAACATCTTAGAATGATTGCCTGATAGGGGAGCGCAATGGAAATAAAAAAGCATAGTATTTCTATACACTTGCAATGAGTGATCTGAAAATAAAATTAAGAAAACAATTTCATTTACAATACCATCACAAAGAATAAAATAGGAATAAATTTAACAAAAGAAGCACAAAACTTATTACTCTGAAAGCTATAAAATATAAAACCATTGTTGGAAGAAATTTAAGAAGATCTAAATAAATGAAATGGAAAAACATCCTGTTTTAATCTTCTTGGGCTGCGAGTGGCTTAAACAGTAGAAATTTACTTCTCACAGTTCTGGAGCCTGGGAGGTCCAATATCAAGGTGCTGGCTGATTTGGTTCCTCGGGAGGGCCCTCTTTCTGGCTTGTAGAGGGACACCTTCTTGCTATATCCCCAGGTGTGGAGAGAGAGAGATCATTTCTCTCATCTCTGGAAGTCTTTTATAAGAGCACTAATCCCGTTCATGAGGGCTCCACCCTCATGATCTAATTACCTCCCAAAGGCCCCACCTCCAAATACCATCCCATTGGAGATAAGGCCTCAACAAAATGAATTTTGGGGGGACACAAACATTCAGTCCATAGCACATCCCAAAAACATGTTCATGGATTTGAAGACCACATTGTTAAGATGGCAGTACTCCTCAAATTGATCTATAGATTCAATGCAATTCCCATTAGAATCTCAGCTGACTTCTTTGTAGAAATTGATGAACTGATTCTAAAATTACTATGAAATTGCCAAAACAATCTTGAAAAAGAACAGAGTTGGAGGATCTTACGTGGATTAATGAAGGACTACGAATTCAGGGCCTGTGTACCTGAGACACCCCCTCTCCCCCCAAAAAGGAATTTGTTTCCAATTACATGGTAGTGTTGGAGAGTACCAGGCCTAGTACTTTCCAGGGTCTCCCTTAACTGAATCCTCTTGTTGCCACAGATTTCCTGGAAGTAGAGATGGCAGAGAAGCCTCAGATTGTGTTGCTGAATGACAACGCCACCATCTTTTGCAAGGTCCCTGGTTCCCTACCCCTCGATATCAAGTATATGGGTATCATCTGGTATCAGAAGAGTCGAGTGTCTAAAACAGAGAGCAAGCTGTTTGAGTTTTTCGGGGACCACCAAAAGGCATTCCGACGTGGAGCCATTGTGTCTCCACAGAGGCTGGAGATGGGAGACGCCTCTCTGCAGCTGCCTGCGGTCCAGTTGAGTGATGCGGGCGAGTACCGATGTGAGGTGGTGGTCACCCCTGAGAAGGCAGAGGGAACAGTCCAGGTAGAGGTTTTGGGTGAGTGCCTGAGGGCAGTGCCCTGTGGTTCCCATGGTGCTGAGGCTTGGGGTGGAGTTGTGGATGGGCTGAGTGGAGCAGAGGTTTAAAACATGGGCCAAGGAGTCAGATAGACATGAGTTTGAGTCCTGGTCTTCCATGGACAGCTGGACAACTTTGGGCAGGTTATTAATCATGCTGACCTCAATGTCCTCCCTCTAAACAAATGTAATAGTACCCACCTTAGAGGATTCGTTGTAGGGAAGAGTCTGTGGAAAAGGCAGGTAAGATGCTTAGCATAGTGCTTGGCCCATTGTAGGTGCTCATAAAAGATAAGCATAGTAATTATTATATAATGCACCTGTGGGCATCAGTGTTCACTGAAGAGGTGCCTCTGAGAGGTAGCTGGGAAAGGAGATGCTGCGCTCTGGCTCCACAGCTGAATCCTATTCCAGTTTGGCTGCTTACAAATTGAGTGATGGGGTCAGTCATTTAACATCTTTGGACCTGAATTTTCCCATGTACAAAACGGGGTGGTGAGTCATACCTGCCTCTTAGTGTTCTGAGGATTACAGACGATAATGTATGAACATGCTTAGCTGAGTGCTGTTGTGAGGTAGGTGCTCAGTCAAGACTTATAACAATATCCCCTAAGCACCTCTTTGAGCTCCACTTTATTATAAATAGGTCTGATATATGTGAATTTGCTTGGGAGGTGTATTAGTTTGCTAGGGCTCTCATAACAAAATACCACTGACTGGGTGGTTTAAATAAAAAAAGTTTATTTTCTCACAATTCTGGAGTCTAGAAGTCTGAGATCAAGGTGTCAGCAGGGTTGGTTGCTTCTGAGGCCTCTCTGCTTGGCTTGTAGATGCCTGTCTTCACATGGTCTTCCCTCTGTGCACATGTGTCCTAATCTCCTCTTCTTATAAAGACATCAGTCACATTAGATTAGGGCCCAACCCAATGACCTCATTTTAACTTAATAACCTCAATAAACCCCTGTTTCTGAATAAAGTCACAGTCTGAGGGCCTGGGGTGAGGACTTCAACATATGAATTTTGGGGGGCCACAATTCAGCCTATAACAGGGAGGCAATGTCTATGAGCCCTCCAAAATTGTACTTATGACTTTTAATATTTTACACATGTTGATTTTGGGGATAGGGATTTATATTAGTTAGGGTTCATTTCCTCTGCAGTTGACAGAAAGCCTAAAATAAAAGTTTTTATAAAAAAATTAATAGACTTTATTTTTTAGAACAGTTTTAGATTTACAGAAAAATTGCAGATAACAGAGTTCCCATATTACTCCCGCCTCCACACACCACTTTCCCTATTATTAACATCTTGCATAGTACAGTATATTTGTTATAATTAATGAACCAATACTGATTACTTACTATTAATTAATGTCTGTAGTTTATTCAGATTTCCTTAGTTTTTAACCTGACGTCCCTGATAATTTTCCTTGTTCTGAAGGCTGCTTTGAAATTCATATACATAGCTATTCCTGCTTTCTTTGGATTAGTGTTAGTGTAATGTATCTTTCTCAATCTCTTTACTTTTAACCTACCTGGGTCTTCATGTTTAAAGTGGGTTTCCTATAGAAAATGCATATTTGAAGTCTTTTTTTTTTTAATTCACTCTGACAGTCTCTGTCTTTTGGTTGGTGAATTTAGACCATTCATTTAAAGTGATTGTGTCTATAGTTGGATTACTATGTCCCATGTTTGTATCTGTTTTCTATCTGATGTACCTGTTCTTTGTTTATTTTTTTTATCTTCCTCTCTTTTTATGCCTTCTCTGGTTTTAATTGAACATTTTGTACGATTTTATTTTCTCTCTCTTTGTATATTAATTTATACTTCTTTAAATTTTTTTTTTTTTTTAGTGGTTGCCCTAGAGTTGCAATGTACATTTACAACTGATCTAGGTCCACTTTCAAATAACACTGTACTGCTTCATGGTGGTTCAGATACTTTATAACAGAGTATTCCTAATTCTTCCCTCCTATCTCTTATAACATTACTGTCATTCATTTCACTTATCCATATGCTATAACCACCCAATACCTTGTTGCTATTATTATTTTGAATGAACAATTATCTATTAAATCAATTAAGCATAAGAAAAATATATGTTTTATTTTACCTTCACTTATTCCTTCTCTGTCACGCTTCCTTTCTTTATGTAGATTCTAGTTTCTGACCTATATCATTTTCCTTCTCTCTGAAGAACTTTTTAATATCTTCTAAGGCAGGTCTACTGGTGGCAACTTCCCTCAGTTTTCGTTTGTCTGAAAAAGTCTTTATACTTCACTTTTTGAGAATAATTTTTCTGGATATAGGATTCTAGATGGGTGAGTTTTTTTCTTTCAACACTATTTCACTCCACTCTCTTCCTGTGTGCATTTCAGAAGTCCTTTGTCATTCTTTTCCTTGTTCCTCTATAGGTATGTTATTTTTTTTCCTTTGGCTTCTTTCAAGATTTTCTCTTTGTTTTTGTTTTTCTGTGTTTTGAATATGATATGCCTTGGTGTAGATTTTTTGGTATTTTCTGTTCTCCAAGCTTCCTGGATCTGTGCTTTGGTGTCTGTCACTAATTTCGGAAAATTCTTAGCCATTCTTTTTCTTTTT